CCCCAAAACCCCAAAACCCCAAAACCCCTTCGAGAATTTTTGGAATTGAACAATATTTACAAATTTTGTACTAACAAATGGAGAAAAATGAGATGCTTTCTATAGAAGAACAACATAAAGAAGATTCTCAGACAGAAGTACCTTTGCAAGAAGAACCTGCAGAAGAGGACTCTCTTAAAGAAGTATCATTTCAAGAAGATCTTCCTCTTGAAAAACTGAAAGAAGAGGAGCATTTAAGAGAGCAGAAAAATGAAGGAGGAACTTCAGAGCAAAATTCTTCTTCACTATTGTCTCTTAAAATACTAAAATCTGAAGTGACTCCTCCCATTCGTAAAGACTTTAATAAATATAAGCCCAAATCTATCTTCATTGGGAATATTAATTTCGCTGCCGATATTGATGCAATCAAGCGTCTCTGTGCATTGCCAGGTCCTTATAAATAAATTGAAGTTAAATTACAATTCAGAGACAAACAAATTTACTGGCTCTGCCTTCTGTGAGTACATAGATGCTGATATTGCAAGCTCAGCCATAAGAAATCTCAATGGGTACGAATTTTTAGGCAGGAAATTAGCAACTGGGTACACTAAAAATTAGCAAAGATTTTGACAAGATAAAAAAGTGGGAAAGTAAGTTTTGTAGTACAAATTTTAGTGGAGTCATTAGAAGCCTGGGATATAAGTAATCCAGCTCAAGAGCAGCTTTTGAAAGGATTCAGAAAATATTTAGGAGGAGAAGAAGGTAAGATGCCGTTTAAGTTTTTACTTACCTTTTTACTGTGAATAGATCTCTCAGAGTTTATGAAATCTTACCGCCAACTATACAAAAATATGTCGATACAACAGAAGGAGAACTTATTGGATAGTATAAAGGGAGTTGTTTTAAAGTCAGAAGAACATGAGAACGCCATTGAGTACATTTTAGATAAGCATCCAGACCTTTGAGAAATTTTGCTCGAAATCGAAGATGATGTAATAGAGTCTTACAAAAATAACTCAAACTCTTAGTAATTTTCAACATTGAGATCGATTAAAGGGGTTTTGGGGTTTTGGGGTTTTGGGG